CGGGAATATCGGAACGACGGGTCGGGCGAACGGCTTAGGGGCTCGAAAATCTGGAAATCCTTCGAACAAGGGGACTGAATAGGGTCGACCCGCGAACAGAGAATTCACGACGGCCGGACAGCCATTCAGTGGACGCCGACGAACAGGTTTGCCGCGAGATGCTTCGATTGATTGAACACGCGCAGGCCGACGGTGGATCTCCGGCGATTATCGGACAGCAGCGGAGGTCCTTGAGGTTGAGGTTGATAGTCACCGAAAAGGCGATTCTCCTGGAAGGGTGCGATGGTCGCCGAAATTGGGTTGCTCCGAGGGGACGCCGGGTATCTAGCTTCTGCTCGCCGGTGACAATGGAGGTTCGCCGGATTTTGCAGGTTATAATTGAGAGAGAGAAATATAGATGATGAATTTGAAATCAATCTGATAATGAGAAGATGACTTTGGCCGGGCCTTTAAAGCAGGCGAGAGTGACGAGCGGGGAGGGAGAAGATTCTGCAGATAAATCGCAACAACAATTCAAACGGGAAGATGACGAACAGTTCTCGCGAAGGAAGCTGAAGAAAGGAACGACCGAAAAATTTTATCTGCTCACAACAATTTGGGTTTCTCCTTCTTGGGCCAAGTTTAATACTCACAGTGGGCCAAGGTAAATATACTGAAATGGGCCATTAAAAGTACATGGAAATAGAATGGGCCAGAACTTAAATCAAATTGGGTCGGAATCAATTTAATCAGGCCCAAAAGAATACGACGCGATAACAAGAATTAAAATAAAACCGGACATTATATATATAATACACACAATAATATTTATAATAATAATAGGCATTTAAAACAATTAGACATTTTTTTTTTGTCGAAACGGCAGGGAAAATTATATATAAAAAGCGAACAACGTTCGAATACAAACCAACCTACAAAGATAAAACTGAGAGGACACGCATTAAGCGGCCTAGAACCTCAACTCTAACCGACAAACAAAGCCAAGAAAAAACAACACCATCCACTGCCAAAGGCCTAGAGGTGAAAAAGGAAAAAAACATCCAACCTAAAAAAAGACAGTAAACAAACCAAAACAAAGAACAGGGAAACAACTTAGGATTTAAGGGAAAGGAAGTCAGTCCAGTCTTGGTGGGCAGCTTTCAAAGTGGTCTGGATTGGCATGAGCATGTTTTGAAAGATGTAGAGATTGCGGGTCTTCCAGAGCCACCAAAGGATGTAGGTAGTGAGCTGAATCCTAGCCTCTGATGTCTCAGAATTCCCTATAGAGCATATAGTCTTCCACCAGCAGCTAAAGGAGGAATCATGAGAAGGCTGCATATTCCAAGAGACTGGAGCAATACTCCATAATTTTGCAGCTCTACTGCAGTGAAAGAGTACATGAGAGATAGTTTCTGAGAACTCACCACAAATACTGCAAACCACATCAATATTAAGTCCTTTCTTCTTCAGTTTGGTCTTGACTGGAAGGGCTTCAGCCATGCATTTCCAAACAAAAAATTTAATCTTGTTAACAATGTTAAGCTTCCACAACCGTTTTCTGATCTGGGAGTTGGAATTGGCAGCCACTGAACTGCTGCAAGAGATATCCAAGGACAAAAGCTTCTGCTGGGATAGAAAAGCATAGGTACTGGAGACTGTAAACATCCCATTCTTATTGAGCTTCCAGTAGAATCTATCTTGCTTACCAGGGTTAAGAGATTTGATGTTCAGAATAGCTTTGCAGTCTTGCTCAGAGAAGATTTGGTTGAGGAGCCAAGAATTCCACTCCAACCCTGATTCAAAGATGAGCTCCCTAACCCAGGTTAAATGACCCCTGGAAATTTCAATCATCAAAGGCTTGGGGTGAGAAATATTAGGGACCCAGTTAACATCATCCACTCTAGTTGACTCCCCATTCCTGATTTCTACAGCAAAGCCCTTAGAGAAGGTGGGGATGACTCCAAGCCAGTTAGACCAAAGCCAAGAGCAGCTTTGAGTTTTTGGAGCATCAAAGAGAGAGCAGTTTGGATAGTATCTGTCCTTTAAAATTACGCTAACAAGTAAATGAGGCATAGAAGAGATCCTCCATAACTGTTTGCAAATCAGGGCTATATTGAAGAGTTGAAGGTCTAAGAAACCCAAACCACCATTGTTTTTTTGGAAGGGATAGTAAATGTCAGGATTTCCAATGGATCCCCCGATTTTGTTCTTCACCAGAACTCCACCAAAACTGTGAGCAAATCTGAGAAATTTTACCACAGAGAGTTTTAGGCAGCAAGAAACAGGACATAGTAAAAATAGGGAGGGCTTGGAGCACAGCCTTTATCAACACAGCTCTTCCAGCTTGATTCAAAAGTTTTGATTTCCAATTTTCCAGCTGACCTTGAACAGAATCAATGATGTACTGAAATGTGTCCAACTTAGATCTACCTAAGCCCAAGGGAAGGCCAAGGTATCTAGTGGATCTATGCTTTGAAATACCAGACAATGAAGCACAAATTATGTCCTGCAGATGATCTGGAGTCTTCCTACTGAAGAAAATAGAGGATTTACTCCAGTTGACACATTGTCCAGTGAAGAGTTTGTATTTCTCCAGAATTGACAGAATAGAAAGAGCCTGGTCAACAGTGGCCTTGCAAAAGAATAATGAATCGTCAGCAAACAACAAATGAGAGATGGCAGGTCCATTGGATGAGATTTTCAGCCCAGTGTGAAGCCAAGAGTGATTGTCATGGTTTACAAGAGCAGATAACATTTCAACAACTATTAAGAAGAGATAAGAGGATAGGGGATCCCCTTGTCTTAAACCTCTGGAGGGAATGACATAACCACTGACTGCTCCATTGATCTTGAAGGAAAATGAGGTTGTAGAAATACAGATCATAATCAGGTTGATAAAGTCAAGATAAAAACCCATCTGAAGCATGATTTTTTTGATACATAACCATTCCACTCTGTCAAAAGCTTTCATAAGGTCCAATTTCAATGCCATAAAACAGTGCTTGCTAGATGAGTGTCTATTCAAATAATGGGAAGCTTCATGCCCAATTATCACATTATCCATAAGCTGTCTACCTTTAATGAAGGAAGACTTAGAATCACTGATACAGACATCCAAACATTTTTGCAGCCTAAGGGCAAAGATTTTAGACAGTATTTTGTAGAGGACTGTACACAAACTTATGGGCCTAAACTGAGTCACATAATCAGGATGCAAGCATTTAGGAATAAGAGTGACTATGGTATGATTCCAATATTTCAAAATAAGGCTTTTGTCATTAATGAAACTGGAAATAGTAGCCACAACCTCAGCTTTAACAATCTCCTAGAAAGTTTGGTAAAAGATAGCAGTCATACCGTCTTCACCGGGTGATTTATCAGGATGGAGGCTGAAGAGGGCAGATCTGATTTCCTCTTCAGTGACAGATTGGAGCAAGCACTGATTCATATCTACAGAGATTGAGTGAGTGATAAGAGGAAGGATTGATTCTCCTCCCCAAGAGTCCTCAGAAGTGAAGAGAGTTTTATAGAATTGAGTTATATGCTGCTGAATAGAGAGCTGAGAGTCACAGACTGTGTTCTGAGAGGTTAAGAGCCTGGAGATGGCATTTTGTTTCTTTCTGGATCTTGTGTAAGCATGGAAAAATTTTGAGTTACTATCACCTTCTTTCAACCATTGCAGCTTAGCTTTTTGCTGCCAGAAAAGTTCCTCATCCTTGTGGGCTTCCTGAAGGTCTTTTTTGGTGGAAAGCCATTCATCCCAATTACTAGAGATTCCCTCATTTTGCAGAGAAGTGAGCTTCTTTGAGAGATTATCAATGATGGATTGATTGTGGGACTTAAAAGATGCACTCCATTTGAGCAAAGCTTGTCTGGTGGCTTTTACTTTTTCCTTAATAATGAAGAAAGGAGTACCAGAGAAGGAGTGTTCCAAGCTTGTTGCACTGTCTCTTTAATTCCAGCCCTTGAAAGCCACCTTTTATCGAAACTGAATCTGCTTTTGTGTCTATCTTTCTTTAATCCGGAATTAAGCAGCAGCATAGAATGGTCTGAGGCTGATTTAGCAACATTGGAGATTGAGGCTTGAGGATGTGCTTCCAACCAGTCAGGAGAGGCAAAGCCTCTATCAAGCTTAGCTTCAATCAACCCTTCAGAGGACCTGTTATTGCACCAAGTGTACTTGTAACCAATTGAAATAATTTCCTCCATCTTCATGCCATTGATGAAAGAATTAAATCCCATCAAGCTAGACTGAGGTCTCAGAATTCCCCCCTTCTTGTCCTCCTCGTTCCTAATGTCGTTCTAGTCCCCAATAATGTGCCAGAGATTTCCCCATAGAAGCTGGTCCATTTTAAGTTCCTCCCACTGAGACTGTCTAGTCAAGAGGTTGTTACTGAGATAAACAAAAATACCCCAAGTGGGACTGGAGTCTTCTAAACTGTATTCCACAGCAATATAGAAAGATTTCTGCATCACCTGGTGAATTTGAACATCAGCTGACCAACATAACAAAAGGCCTCCACTCAAGCCAATAGGGTCCACAATAGAGTATCTGTTATCAAATCCCAACTTTCTAGCTACAGATTTAACAAAAGCAACTTTTTTCTTTGTTTCTGACAAAAAAATAAAAGCTGGGTGGTGAGTCTTGCATGACTCTCGGATTTGGGAAATTGTAGAGGGCCCACCCAGCCCTCTACAATTCCACACCGCAGCTAGCATTGGTCACTTGGGCGCCATTCTAGGCTGGCCACCCCCACCTATTCTAAGTCAGTTTTCTGCTTCTTATGGTCTGAATTGGACTGCTCCTGGGAATTGATATCTTCGCAAATAGTTTCCTCTGAGTCTCTAGGCCTTTTGATAGATAGATGATCCTCTTGAAGAGAGGAAATGAGGGATTGTCTTTGAAGCCTTCCCAATCTGGATTCTGATCTCTTCCAGAGCTTAGGTTTGTAATTTGACTTACCAGCCACTGAGATTTGAATAGCTTTGTCCTTTGAAACTGTCAGAAGAGTATTTTCCACTTCCATGTCTTTTTTGCATCCAAATCATTTTTTTCAGGCAATGCTTCTAGAGAATGATCAATTGGGGAGGGAGCGGTCTCCATATGTTGCTGAGAGGGGATTTGAATGATAGCATTTGTTGGATGAGATGTGGATGCTATAGAGTATTTCTTGTTGAGTTGGGAAGGCGAGCCTTCAATCGAGAGAATTTTGTTGCTATCATTTCCAGGAGTTGTGGTGATGGGAGTTTGAGATTCCGAGTGCTTAGGAAAAGTTGGACTGTCATTGCGAGGAGGACTCTGGGAACCTGTAGAGTGATGTCCTGCCCATCTGTTGTATTCAGTGGCCCTCATCCATGCTCCATACTGTCCCTCATGAAGAGAGTGAGATTTGATATCTTTCAGCCTAAGTGAGCAATTCCGATCCAAATGACCTATGAATCCGCAGTAGTGGCAGTGGTTAACCAGCTTTTCATACTTGAAGCCTGCACTAACTGTTTGGTCTTCTAGCCTGAGCTTAGCACAACGAGGGAGTGGCTCTTGAAAATCTACTGTAACTAGGAGACGCATGATTCTTCCACCGTGACTTCCAGCACCAACAATAACAACATTTTTCACTTGTTTGAAAACTTTCCCTATCTTCAGACCAACTTCAGTACTGAGCCAATCTAAAGGAATATTAAACACCTGGACCCAAAGATTAAGTTCTTTGAAAGTGGAATGGTTGATTGTAAGCCCCCTTTTCCATTCTGATAGAATGAGATAGTGATTGTCATAAGTCCAGTTGGTACCTCTTGCCACTTTGTCTTTGTCATCGTTGCTTTGAAAGATGAACTGGTAGTAGTTAGTGCCCAGCTCTTTGATCTCCATAGGTTGGCTTAACTTCCAAATTTGACTCATGGCTCGTTTGACGCCAATCCAACTAGTTATCCTGTCGCCAACGATTTTGCCGAAGAGGCTACGGTGGCATTCGTCCGCACTAATCTTAATATCGTTTGTGCCCAGATCAATATATGAGAATTCTTTGTTGGATAGCGAGACCTGCTGCAACTTCTGGCCAGATCGTCATCTTGACCGACGCAGTTGGAGGTTCCCATTGAAACCCTAGGCTACTCCGGGAAAAAGAGAAAGATAACCCGACTGGAAAGACCTCAAAATCAACCAAGGAGGAAAGGAAAACAACTAATTTTGGGTGAGATTTAGCATCGAAGAAGGAGAAGAGAAGAAATGCCCAGATCGCTCCCAATCGAGAGAATGTAGAACGCTCCCTATCGAGAGAATTGGCTCCTTGGAGAAAACAATTAGACATTTAATGACTATAATAATAATAATAATAATATAATAATAATAATAATAATAATAATAATAATAATAATAATAATAATTATAATAATAATAATAATAATAATAATAATAATAATAATAATAATAATGCAAAATAAATAATCTCAATTATTTATAAACAAACGGGGCATTACAGTCTACCCACCTTACAAAGAATTATGTCCTCGGAATTCGAAAATAAAACTAGAAAGCGAAAAAATACAAAGGAGAACTTATAAATCAAAGTTCGGATAACGCCTCCTAATCTCGGCCTCCTTTTCCCAAGTCGCCTCGGTCTCATCGTGTTGGCTCCACTGCACCTTCACTAAGCTCCCTGCCCGGTTCCTCAGCTGATGGACCTTCTGGTCCAAGATGGCTACCGGCACCTCCTCGTAGGTAAGGTCTCGCTCGACCTGCAGCTCGCCGAAGTCCACCACATGATCAGGATCATGCAGATAGCTCCGAAGCATCGAGACATGGAACACGTCGTGCACACCCGACAAGTATGGTGGTAAAGCCAGCCGATACGCTAAGTTCCCGACTCGATCGAGGATCTCAAACGCCCCGATATAGCGAGGTCTAAGTTTCCACTTCTTCCCGAAGAGAATCACACCTCTCATGGGTGAAACCTTCAAGAAGACATGATCTCCCACTGCATAAACATGCTCTTGCCTCTTCCGGTCGGTATAGACCTTCTGCCTCTCCTGGGCAGACCTGATAGTCCTCCAGATCTCCTCAACTGTCGCTGCAGTACTCTGGACAAATTCCGAACCCGTAATTCTCCTCTCTCCAACCTCATCCCAATACAAAGGAGTCCGGACCTTACTGTTGGGTTCTGTTAGGAACGTCAAACAACATGCACGGCATTGAACTTTATCGAAATAAATCCTAACGCAGCGGAATCTATAGTTAGGATATGGACGTTTACCTTTTAAAATTTTTGCCGACTCTGAGACGATGTAGAGTACCGTTGGTGAAGTTCGTCTGAACACCACAACCTAATGGGCGGATAGGTTTGGCCTTTAGTTGATTCTAATCAACACGTCAAACGGATCACGAACACATGGCACGCGGGTCTCGGCGTCGGGCGGCAGCGGGCAGCACGTGCGGACAGCGAGCGT